AAGTCCAGTAACAAACCACCACTCCGGTTCAGATCAGGGGGGCCGTTCCTCCCAATCACGCCCCTCCAAAGTCTCCATCATTGCCCACATGTGCGTTGAAGTCTCCCAGCAAGATTAAAGAGTCCCCATACAGGACTCTTTCCAGGGTCTCCAAGAAGGCCGTATACTCTGAACTGCTGTTTGGTGCATAAGCACATACAACAGTTTGAGTTTTCCCCCCCATAACCCGCAGGCGTAGGGAGGCGACCCTCTCGTCCACTGGGGTAAACTCCAACAACGAAGCACCCAACCGGGGGCTTGTGAGTATCCCCACACCCGCCCGGCGCCTCACACCTTGAGCAACTCCAGAGAAGAATAGAGTCCTGCGGCATGGTGATGCTGGACCTACAAAAGGCTTTCGACACTGTCAATCACCCCATTCTGATTGACAAGCTAAAAGCAATTGGTTTTGATAAACTATCGGTGAGCTGGATGCAATCCTACCTGGAGCACTGAAAAAACTGATTTTAGATGTTACATGTTTTAATCTAGCCTTTTTTAATAGATTTGAATGTGTTATTGCATCCTTCTTATCTTTTTTAATTAATCTTAACATATATTGTCACTGTTTAAAACAAGCTAATTTCATTCATTTAAAAGTAATTAGAAAAAAAATATGTACAATTTAATTACCACATATGGAGAGGCGAAGTCCCTCCCCTTCCGAAAGCCTCCATGGGACCCCAGAAGCGGAAAATTATACATTGAAGTCAATGGAGAGAGAAAGGTTATCTTTTGATCCCGTTTGAATTGTGCCACGAATGACACATATGATGTTTGTCAATTTAAAAGAACATTTTGCAAGTAAAAAAAATAAAAATGTGTCGTAAAATTGTGAAGTTACACATTTTTTCGTGTGAAACCGCTCAGTGAACTACAGGTCTCTCGTCTCGCACAATACGCGTCTCCAACATAAAGATGGCCGTCACGTTAGCACATTTCACCACATTCTTTCAGAATGAGAATAAAAGTATTTTACGAGGTGAAAATCACTACAAGTCTGGGCACGTTGAGAGCTGTACCTATATGAAAGGGGAGTTAGTCGGTTCTGTAAGAGCCAGCATGCGGGACCGGCTTTACAAGGTTTCGGTGAGTAATATGAGTGCAATGTGTAACGTTAATGTCAGCTAGCTAACATTAGCTAACAAGGTACACTAACGTGTTTTGTTTTAGTAACTAGTTTTCTCCTTAAGAAATTCGTGGTCTCTGTGTATGCTGTGGATAACATTAGTGTTCACAAGAACAAGGTACACTCCCGTGTTTTGTTTTAGTTGCTCTTCAGATTGAAGCGGACAGTTTTATGTGTGATCTCCTTTTTCTCGTGTCATTTGAGTTTATTTGCTGTTTGTAGATTCAAGGATTTTGGTTATCTAGGCACAGCTGTGTGTGACTCCCTCTGGTACACTGGTATGTGTTTTCCTAATGTAGAGAGCATTGATTAATTAATAAACTACACACTGAGTCTAGATCCTGACCAAATCCTTTTTTATTGTTGATCAAATGTTTTTCAAAAATGTATTCATACACATTTAGAAAAATACAATGTACAATCACAACCAATACAACACAAATTACAAAAAATACAGAAAAAACAAACAATAACAACAATCAGACAAGAGGACAAAACTATGGAAAAATAAACCCTCCCAGATCCGGACCATCCTTGTATTATTGCTCATTCAATCTATTATAGCATGCTAACAAATGGTACTTACTTTATTTTTACAGATCTGCATGGGAGACGATGGCGCGATGCAGAGCGCTGTCTGTGATTGTGCACAGGAGATGTACAAATGCAGCCACGCTGCAGCATTGGCAATATTTGCCATGTGGCAGATCAGCTCCACAGATGTTGAGTGCCAGTGGAGGAAGCCTGGCACTTAAAAAGTAGTCCAGCCGGTGTCTCAACTTTACCAACAGCGAGAGGAGACATACAACCCACTGGCCAGAGACATCGCCAACTGTCAACTGGGGGGTTGTAAACGAGGCAGAAGGGGTGAAGGCTTTTGTGGAGGCCTATCAAGTGACAGTGTTAGAATCGAGTCTGGTCTCTTTGTGAGTGAGTCGGGTGTTTTGGGAGCATCACCCGATGGACTTGTGCAGCCATCTGCCCTGCTGGAGGTGAAGTGTCCACACAGCCAGAGGAACATGACCATCGCGGAGGCAGTCCAGTTACCATCCTTCTGTCTTCGTGAGGCGGGTGGGTCATATATTCTCAAGGAGAATCACCCATACTGGCACCAGTCCAAGGGCAGCTGCATATCACAGACCGGAGTCTCTGCTACTTTGTTGTGTGGACCACGAAGGAGGTGATCATCATCCCCATCCCCAAAGACCCCTGCATGGCATGGAAATCTCCTCCTCCTGGAAAAATTCTACACCCAGCATATGCTCCCTGTGTTGGCCAGTAGAGAGGAGGACATTTCAATAAACATACTCTTAACACCCTCGGACTCTGCGTTGTGTTTCATATGTGTGATGGGGTGTTATGCAGAGGGGAGGAAAACAGGACACAGCAGATTGGGATTGTGGTGGAGATGCTGAGCAGTTATTTAATTGTTGCATGTAATTATTATTATACTGCGTGCTTCTGAGTTATTCCATCTTTTGCTGTAACATGGATCTGTATGTAACTCTATATTTACTTGTTATCTACCACACTTCCTTCTACATCATACACCATCATTATACATGATGGTGTATATAGGATATATATATTTGTATACATATCTGTAAATTGTATAATTTTATTTAAACGTCTTTTTGATCTCTCAAACTGAGTAAGATTGACAATAAAGTTGACTTTGAAAAATATATATATTCTTTATGAAAATAGTTGACTGTTGTCAAATGAATCCAAATGAAACGTTGGACTGAACTACAACTACGCCTTTAAATCTCTACGGACTGTTTTTCAGTGGGATGGCAAGTTCCTATCTTTAAACATTTATTAGTTTTTTCTCAGAACAGATTTGATTTTCTGAAGTTAATTTAACTTTGCCGACCATGTAAGGTCATTATTAAAAGGTACAATCAATTTGTTTAGGGTTGACTAAAATAATGAAAAACATTTAATTTGGATAATTTACTGACAGAATAAGAAATTCAATGATGCTCTACTCACTTGTTCCCTTTTTATAAAGTGAAACAGTTGAAACGATAGATTTTAGTAAACTTAAAAACAACCTTCTCCAAAAGCTATCAAGGAATATACCGAATACTTGTTTTAGAACTTTATTACATATTTTTATATAAATAGTTTGAATGATCCATAATTGACAGAAGCTTGTGTTTACACTGACCTGTTACTCATATATTAATGTCTTTGTAACTTCAGTAAACCACTACCTCACTAATTTATTTCATTCATCACAGTTCAGTAAACTAAGTGATACATGAACCAGTTTAATCATTATAATAACGTAGGATTGCAACTCTTTGAAACTGTAGGTGGCTCTTAAAAGAGCCGTTGTGTTTGGGTGTGCTGGTCTCAGGTCAGTCTAAGCCCTCTCTCCGCGGATGCGGCGGGCCAGCTGGATGTCCTTGGGCATGATGGGGACCCTCTTTGCTTGGTTCATCTTACTGGGGGGCAGCTACATGGATGTCGGTGCAGTCCACAATCATTGCGCAGTTGAAGGCAGAATTAATTTATTATTGACTCCGAATGAAGCACAACTTCATGTCATACAATACAATGACTTTATTTGTAATTGTGTAAAAAAATATGAGCATTGATTAGCAAGCAGGACCTGCAGGAACAGAGAATGGTGATGGATGGAGCTGGGAAGAGAAAAGAATAAAGAAAACAGATCAACTTTATTATCGGATATTAAAAATTCAATTTCAAAACAAGTTGCCGCTCCTACAGTTTTCTAGTATGTAAAGATGATTTCACATGACCTATGCAAAATATCACACTCAATACATGTGTGTCTCTGGGGGGTGCATTGTGCCTTTGATGTATATAAATAATATACCATAACCAAATACTATTACGTACAGTGGAAATCAGGTTGCCAGAGCAGGTCAGTGTGCATGTTCCTCAACGTCTCAGCAGTTACAGGTGAGGTAAAGAGAAAAAGGTCAGTAACAACACTTTAAAGTAACAACACTTTGAATAATTATCTCTTCTAACAATTTTCTCTCAATAAGCACACAACGACTGTCTTTCCAACAAACAGATTGTCATCACAATGAAACACGTCCAGAAGAATGACATGCAAAGCTCCATGCCTGCCTTCGACTCTCCCTGAACTGCTTCCTTAGCACCCAGTGGAGGGCGCAGTAGGCTACTCTTCAAATGTTTCACGAAATACTTACCATCATGTTTGGTTACTGTTTAACATTTTGGTTTACTTCATGTAATAAAATAATAACTTCATGGTAAGGCTACTAAAAATGACAAGGCTAAGTAATGTAATGCTAACTAACGTGCTCGCTACTCGTCACTACTAGCTAGGTAGCTAACTTGACTATGTTCCATGCACAACATGTATATTACCTATGATATTACCTGATATGTCTGATCCAGCGACTCCTGGTCCTTTCATCAGACGGGAAGTGATAGAACGAGCAAGTGGTATGATCACTTTTGTGATTACAACCTGGTACAAAGCACACAGGCATCTTGTAAAAGTGAACCAACCACTTGGAGGATTATTGCCTGTGACATCACTTACGCGACCCAGAATGGGATTTGGGATTTGTAGTCGCGTATTTTTCATAGTCTTATATTTCAACAGTTTTACGACAAAATGTGACTTTTTTGACATGGAAATGATTGTTTAAGATTGACAAACATCATATGTGTAGTTCGTGGCACAATTCAAACGGGATCAAAAGATACGTTTTCTCTCTCCATTGAATTCAATGTATAATTTTTCGCTTCCGGGGTCCCATGGACCGGAAGTAGATGGGCGTGACTTCGCCTCTCCATACTGTCCTGTCTGCGCATGTGCATACACAAGAAGACCGCCAATTTTCCCTCCATTTTCCATTCGGAAGGACCACACCTGACTGCCAGCGTAGCTCCTCTGTCGTGAGGTGAATGTTCTCCTTCTTCTATATTATACTTAAACAGGTAGATTAATAGCTAACATTAACGCTATTGACTGTGTGTTTTGATAGATTAACATTAGCAAACGTAGGCCTACAGCAGCTAGCTAACTGTTAGCCTACTGTTAACCTAGCTTAGTTGTTTAGTAATGTTTAAGTAACCTAATTGAAGTGTAACATGTATCATTAACATTATAAGATAACTTGATACTGCTCTCAAATTAAATACGTGATAAATTCAATCTTTGTCTTGTTAGACTTTATTATTAGTTTGTGGCTAATACAAGTTTAATACTGCCTGTTACTATGCTTTTTTTTTTGTAGCTTCACCTGGCTTGTATACTGGCCATTCCTAGCCTACTGTGTTCCTGACAGGCTGTAAGTATGTTTTTTTGTTTAACTTGTTCTTATCACTGTGGTAATATTAGGACACAACTAAGCATGTGAAATCACGTTGGTTTTGGTAACGTTACTCTCTGGCGGCAAGGGGTTAATGTTACCGAGGCTAACGTTCATATAACGTTTCACACGAGTACTTTCCCCCCCGAACCTTATTTCCACCCCCAGATAGTCCCTGCTAGCGAGTTATTACTTTCCTGAGGAGGAAATGGTTCGTGGGTGTGTCGGCCCCACTACACCGCAAACAACTTCACGGCGTATACTGCCACCGGAAGTCCCCGGAGTTGGGGACTGGCTTCTACTGAAGCCTTTCGAGTAAATCGCCAGAAGCGCCGACACCTCCTCATCACTCCACCGCTCCCATGTATTATTTTGTGTTGCCATAAGTTAGTCAAAAATAGTTAGTGTTGCCGACACACCCACTAACCTTTTCTCCCCAGGAAAGTACCACCTCTCTAGCAGGACGGTCTGTTTATCGGTACTTGAGACATTTAACATTATATTGCAGTCTTAGTTTCGCCAACACCGTTTATAATATGCAATAAGACAAAATGCGTCGATGTATTTTCAATCTTTCCAATCCAGAGGAGAGATCTCTCTCTCCCCGTCTGCGTGCGAGGGGGTGGGGCAGTTTATACACACGCGGCTGCTACATGCATGCAACACACACACATGGTGGAGAGAGAACTAAGCGCTCCTAGGTGTGGTTAAATGTTACCCGTTTTGAGGTGGACAATGTTCTTTGCCAAAAGTGAGAAATCATTTATTGCTTTTGGCTATAGAATAGAATATATAATCATTTAATGTCATTATACATGTACAATGAAAGAAAGAAAAGCTTCTCCCTTTTTAAAAGCTGCCATCAAGTGCAATAACAGTTTAGCATGTAAGGGCGGTAACACAAGCAATTTGTCTAAACATTTGGCAAAAGTGCACCACATCCAGTCATATTTAGGCTCTATTTTTTAATTTTTTTAAAACGTTACATTGTTTGTCACAAAGGAGTTTGTAGGATTTTGAGTCATTGGCCTAACACAAGTCAGTAATCATTGGCAATCAATTACCTTTTTTCATTTACCATTATTATTTTTAATTTCTGCTCATCTTTATTTGTATTGCAGGTTTTGCTATCTGATGTTGGTGTGATGGGGAACAGAACCTTACTCACAATACTCCATATTGATGAGGTAAGTTATATATTTCACATGGTGAATGGTGAAATGCCTATTTGCTGTACACATCGAGCTGCTACAGAGCAACATGATCATACATTTGAAATGGTGTTTCTGTCCATCTGATAAGTCCAATATTCACATCTTTTAGCTCTGTTTATGCTCTCCACCAACTCCTTAGTAAAGTATTTGGCTCTTTAGCTGCTCAATGTTTCGCTTTCTTCACCAGCTATTCTCTAACTGTCAGTGTGATTGTCTGAAGAAAACAGCTGCTGCTGGAATTGGGGTTTTCACTTTATACCTCAACATTTTACCCATTGTCAATTAAAGTATTAGCAAGGTTTAAACAACCATACAGCTTACAAGTCTAGTTTTGAATCCTTGCAATTACCTTAGATTAATATAAATACTTTGGTTAGAACACACTGTGCACCAATACACGTCTTATCAAGGACTTGGTTAATGAGGTCAACATTAGAATCTATCCTTTAATTATATAGTAGATACAAAATATCATTACACCAATGGCTGAATGTGCTCTTTGTCTTTTGTCGTTTTGTTTTTGCATAACAGATACACGCTGAATTCCAGCGCATAACAACTATCCCACTTGAAACAGCCTTCATGGCGCAGTTGGACAGCCATCTACCTCAGCTGACATCTGTCTTCCAGAAGAAGGGAGGAGTTGTTGGCCAGAAACTAGCCAAACATCTGGCGATCTTGCAAAAGGTAAATGTGTGTATACTGTTTTATACAAATTGTCATATACTCTATGGAGCAATTTTATGAAATGTACCTGTCTAGTACCGTATAGAGCCCCATTTGCCTCACAACAGCCTGGATTACTTGCCAGGTTCAAGAATGCAAGACACATTTCTAAGGAAATCTGATCTTAATAAGGCAATAGTGGCATACTGGGTAGAGAAGCAGGCTTGTGACTGGAAAGGTGCAAATGCAATCCCCAGGTGGGGAAAGTGAAAAAGCAGAACCTGCCTTGAGCAAGTCACTTAATCCTCAGTTGCCAACAGATCAGACTGTGGTTGTACTAGGCAGATTCCAGGTGTGAACTGTGAAGAACGGAGCATTGGTCTTGGTGAAAAGCCCCTGGATGAGTAGAATTTGTAAACAGTGCTATCGCCCTAACACATTCAGACCTCTGACATTGTAATACATTTACAGTAAGTCACAATTCTTTAACATACTTAAGTTAGGGCATGCCATTTACATGTATAATGAAGTCATTGTATATATTATATTGTATATTTAGGTTACTACAGGTTGTAAATCTTCTACAATTTATAGACAATTTTGTTATTATTGATGTATTTAGAAATATTTTAATAATTGCAATTTTTTTACACAGGCAACAAGTGATGTTAAACTTAAAGAGCCTGTGACAGCATTCCAACAACTGTTGTGCAATGAAATATTGGGCTACTAGTAATCTCGAACCGTCAGTTTAAAAAAGAAAAAGCGATATCGTTCCGTTAAATATCAATAATTTCGAACATCGCGGGGAAATTCCTTCGACTCATTTTGAAGTTTTGGGGGAAGCCGGAAGTGACGTCAATGCGGGAACGCTTCACTGTGCGGCGAGAGAGCCAAACACGGACAAAGTGTGTTGTCATGCGTAGAAATGGTGAATTACTGAGTTTAGGCACGTTAATAACGTCTTAATGAAGTTGACTACAGTATATTCATATTTGTCAGTGCTTTCATGTCAATTCGGCGAACATAAACATAAATGATCGTGGTGAAGATGATGATTACATTAGGATTAAAAATCGGTAGTGAGAGCTGCTGAATTTCCTCCCGTAGGATGTGATATAAAAACAAATCGATTATTTTTGTAATTGTAAACTCAAGTGGATGAAACTACATTTATTAGTGCTTTCATGTCAATTCGGTGAACATATGATAGATTAAATGATCGTGAGAATGATGATTAAAAATCGTTTGTTGGAGCCGGTCTGCATTTCCTGATGAGAAAACAAACCGATGCTTTTTGTAGTTGTTCACCAACATGGATTAAACGTGTGGTTTTTTCACCACAATGTTGGGGAAATTAATGGATAGAATGCACGGATTATTATTATTATTCCCACTCCGATCGGGACACCAGGTCCACCGTTTCCCCGCAGCGAGGCTCCCCCCGTTGACAGTTTACGTGGGCTGGGTGCAGTCGCGGACTGGCCATCGGGACGAATCCAGATGGGCCGGTACCGAAGTGGGCCGGTCGGATAAGTCACTAGCACATCCCCCATAGGCGGCGCGTGAGGCTCAGGTTTGGGAAGGCTTAATAACTTATTTTACCTGACGCTGCCCGCCTCCGGCGTCTATAGAAAAGAGATTAACTCAGTGTGCGGAGTTTAAATCTCTCAAGTCATATTACAGGATAAAGGAAATACAGAGAAGACGCCGACGTGTCGCACTTATCATTCATATTACATCATCAATCAGATAATCGATCATAGCCTATAATATCATAATATAGGCCTATCATATATTTCCTTATCTGAGTCAGCTTCTCCAGCCGTATCTGGCCGTGCAACACTTACAGTGTCACATAGGCTACTGTATGCAGAAGTATTATTTTAAGCAACACATTATGTTGACGAAACACTCGAGTCAAATGTAATTAAAGTCAGATCCACTCGTGTTTTAGACGTGAACGCGCTCTCAGCTGGTGAGAGAACCCCTGGCTTGATTTACCGAATTGATAACCAGCGTCCTAGGACCGTTTAGCGAGATCTCGTTTGTTAGTTTGTTGTTGTTAGTTTGTTTGTTACTCAAACTAACATATTCAGGGTATGTTGAACCGAAAAACTTAGCAGCGCTAATGTCAAAGACACAGACATTGCATTATATTTGTATTTTACCAGGATGCAGTGACACAAATATTTACATATTTACATTTACTATCTACAGCACCCGCCGCCCCTGACATCCCCCACTCCCCCCGTTGACAATTTACTAGCGGTACCGAAATGGGCCGGGATGATTTTTAGTCCCAGTCCACCACTGGCTACATGACCGTATGATCGCCCATATTGACGCACCTAATTCCTAAACTTCTAACAGATACAACATAAACCGATCCTACAGCCTCATATGAGCTCTCAGACACGTTCAACATTAAACTGTCTGAGCTTGCTGCTGTGTGCACCATCGTGCGTTTACATGCAGATGCTGGGATCCTGAACGGTGCAGCTGGAGCGCTGTGCCCACAATGACGTCACACGTAATTTGGCGGGACTTGAAGAATCCCCGAGAAAATCCAGAAAATGGTCAACATTGAAGGGCAGATTAATGGTTATCAAAGTACAAATATCCAAAATCAGTTCAGTAATGGTTTTCAAGGGGACAATATTTACTCAAATTGATGGGTTTGGATGATGGGGGAAACTCGTGTCACAGGCTCTTTAAAAGGGAAGCAATCCTCAAGGCACTTTGCATCCACCTTGGTGAGGATGATGGACATCTCATTCGGGAGTATATGGTGAGTCATTGTAATTGCATTTGCCAGTCACATGTAATGTTTTATGATCCTAGTGTCAGGCATCCATTTTAGATCATTATGTTTTACCTTATAAGGAGCATGAAGGTTGAGAATATTTATATGTATGTATGTTGATATTCAACAACAGACTAAAGCATTTCAAACCATCAGCTTGGTTATTTATACGACGAGGTTGGCTTTATTCATAGTTTTTCTTATTGTCCAATGGAAAGACCATAATCAACAATGTCTTAGTCCATCTGTCAATCCTCTCTGACTCCTGACACTCAGCACCAAGCTTATTGGTTCCTACGTAAATCTTTAAAAACACCTCACACATATTTAGTTTGATTCAGAAATATATACAATATGACCAGCTTTGTTTTAAGGGATTAATAGGTATGTGAGCAATATTACAAAAAAATTATACGATAAAGTATGTCATTAAAATTACATATATTGAATAAATACATGTTTTTTCTTTAAATATACAGGACATCGAAGAAGATGACGTCACCAGAGACCTCCAGAAATCTACCATGGGCATATATGTCATCAACAAGGAGAGTGGAGAACCTGGACATTATGACAACGTTGGGATTTTTGTTGAAGGACTAATTATTCTGGACAACATTGGATCTGTAGCCCGAGCTTGTGCCATCATGCTGGGAGTCATCTATCCACTGAACATGGCTTACCCCAAAGAGCTAAGGTACTACTATGAATTCATTCAGAAAGTGCTCTTGCAAATGGATGGTGAAAGGCTTTCCCCCAAAGTCCTTGGACTGAAGAACAAGATACATGCTGGACTGTAAGATTTCTTCAGCCGCTCTTGTAAACCGATGCCATTAAAGCATTACAAAAACACCAGTCAAACCTCAAAGGTTGGGAGAAGAATGTGGAAATCTCGATGGACTTGGAAGACATTTGTTTCATGTATTAGTGTGAGGAAGGTTACATCCTCCTCAGCTGTTTAAGTCACATGCTTCATGTTACGTCAGGATTTATTCACTATGTCTGTTTCCACTGCACTTTGTTGCTGTCATGGCCTCCACCTCTGCCTAGTCAGTGGCCGTTTCTCAATGTCGAGTAAACCTGCTGCAGAGCCACTATTTCAAGTATACTACGTCATCGAGTGGCGCCGAAGGACTGCATGTTAAATGCCCAGCATTTGGCGCCACTCGATGATGTAGTATACTTGAAATAGTGGCTCTGCAGCATGTGTACTCGCGATTGAGAAAGTGTGTGTGTGTGTGTGTGTGTGTGTGTGTGTGTGTGTGTGTGTGTGTGTGTGTGTGTGTGTGTGTGTGTGTGTGTGTGTGTGTGTGTGTGTGTGTGTGTGTGTGTGTGTGTGTGTGTGTGTGTGTGTGTGTGTGTGTGTGTGTGTGTGTGTGTGTGTGTGTGTGTGTGTGTGTGTGTGTGTGTGTGTGTGTGTGTGTGTGTGTGTGTGTGTGGTGTGTGTGTGTGTGTGTGTGTGTGTGTGTGTGTGTGTGTGTGTGTGTGTGTGTGTGTGTGTGTGTGTGTGCCAATCACCTCTGGCATAAGACTCCGGCCCTGACTCCTCCACTTCGCCAGATCGTAGACTCTGTACCCACAGTCAGTCTCTAGCTTTGGAAAGTCTTCGATTGCGATTCCCTGTTTGACCTGTTTTCTCCTGTGCCTGCAGCTTCAAGCCAGCCTGACTCCTAGCTCCTGTCTCCAGACCACCTCCAACGTTGGACGCTGTCCCGCTCCTCCTGGCTCTTCTCCCTGCACTCTCCAACCTGGTCAGACCTCCGTTCCCCTCTCCCTTGGACTCCGTCTAGCTTCCCTGGCCCAGACCCCCAGTAATATTCAATAAATGTTATTATTGTGCTTGAAACTCCTGTCTTGCTCTGCTCCTGGGTTCCCTGCAAGCCTTAACAGTGGCCAGATTGTACTGTTAAGGCTAGCAGGGAACCCAAGAGCAGAGCAGAGACAGGAGGAAAGAGTTTCAAGCACAATAAAACAGTTTAATACTGGGCAGTAGGCAGGGGGGTCTGGGCCAGGGAAGCGACGGAGTCCAAGGGAGAGGGGAACGGAGGTCTGACCAGGTTGGAACTAGATTCCTATACCGGATCTCCTCTCTGGTAAACAAAAACACCCTGAAAACTCTGGCAGGAGCACTCATTCAAGGGTACTATGACTATGCTTGCACGTCATTGTACCATAGCATCTCCAAGGCGCTAAAAATAAAACTTCAAACATCGCAAAATAAACTGGTCAGACTACTGCTTGACCTTTCATCTAGAACCCACCTCACCTCTGCCCACTTTGACAACCTAGGATGGCTTAGAGTAGACGACAGAGTACAGCTACTTGCAATGGGCCTGGTCTACAAGATCCACTACACCTATGGTACCCATGTACATGTCAAAATTCTTCCCAAAGGTCAAGGAATACCATGATCATAACACCAGAGGGAGCTCCACAAATCATGTGAAACCCAGATTTGGCACAAAAAAGGGGGAATACACGTTTCGCAATTATGCCACATCAAGGTGGAACGCTCTTCCCACAACTGTAAAGGAAAGTAAAACTATACTTACCTTCAAAACCTCTCTTAAAGAGCACCTTCGGGGGAGAGCATTGCAAAACTGGCCCCGGTAATGGTACAAATCTCAACCTGTCGTTCAATGGACAGCTTCCCCCCCCCATCTATGTATATACTCGCATTTTAGACTCTGTTACTGTATATCTGTAGACTTGGTATGTCTTAAATGTCCGGTTAGGATGTATTAGAACGAAATCT